TAGTGAAATAAATTAAAGAACAGCTAAATAAACGGAGAGATAGCCCATACTCACAGCTAGAAATATTCAAACTGTCAAGATATCATTCCTTCCCAACATGATACGTGATTCAGTGAAAGCTCAATGAAAATCCCAATAAAATTTTCTTGGATAACAACGAACTCATTCCAAAGATTATACAGAAAGACAAAAGACCCAGAATAGCTAACACAATATTAAAGGAAAAAATAAAGTTGGAAGACTGATGCTACCCTATTCCAAGACTTACTATAAAGCTTCAGCAGTCAAGAGAGTGTGAGATTGGTGAAAGAATAGACAAATAGATCAATGGAACAAAATAGAAAGTCCAGAATAGACCACCCAATATATTTAACCTTTGTTTCTTTGACAAAGAAACAAAGACAATACAATGGAGAGAAGACAGCTTTTTCAACAAATGGTGCTGAAACAATTAGACATTGACATGATAAAAAATAATAATCTAGACACAAACTTTGCATGATTCACAAAACAACTCAAAACAGATTATAGACCTAAACAGAAAATGATAAAATGCCTAAAAGATAACATATCTGAAAAATCTAGTTTATCTTAGGTTTAGATTTTAAATAAACATCAAAGGAATCATCAATAAAATAAAAATTAATATGTTGGACTTCATTAAAATTAAAACCCTCTGCTCTGTGAAAGAAACTGTCAAGAGAATGAAAAGACAAGCCACAAACTGAGAGAAAATATTTTCAAAAAAGAGATGTGATAAAGAACTGTTATTCACAATATAGAAACAACTCTTAAAACTCAATATTAAGAAAATGAACAACCTGATTAAAACCTGAGCAAAAGTTCTGAACACACAACTTACCAAAGAAGATAAACATGTGTACATTGCTCAACATCATATAATATTAGGAAATTGCAAATTAAGACAACCATAACATAGGTAAGATACAACTACTACATGTTTAATATAATGGTCAAACTCTAAACCAATACAACAGCAAATGTTGGCAAGGATATGAAGCAACAAGGACTCTCATTCATTGCTGATGGGAATGCAAAATGGTGCACCCACCTTGGAAGCCACTTGGGCAGTGTCTTACAAAACTAGACATATTCTTACCATATAATCCAACGATCTTATTTCTTTCTATACACCCAAATGGGTTGAAAGTTTTGCATCTACACAGAAAACTGTACACATATGTTTAGAGCAGCCTTATTCATAATTGCCCAAACTTGAAAGCAATAAAGATGTCCTTCAGTAAGTGAATGGATAAACTTTGGTATATCCATACAGTGAATTTTATTTAGTGCTAAAATAAAATGAAATTTCAAGCCATGAAAAAAAAAAATCTGTTTTTTAAGCCATGAAAAAAAATGGAGCATATTACTAAGTCAAAGAATCCAATCAGAAAAAGCTACATACTGTATGATTCCAACTGTATGACACTTGAAAAGGCAAAACTATGGAGACAGTAAAAATATTAGGGAAGTCAGAGCCTGGGGTGAGGGGCAGTGAGAAAGAAGCATGAATAATCAGATCCCAGGGGATTTTGAGGGCAGTGACACTAATTTGTATTATACTATAATGGTGAATATATGTTCAGTATATATTTGGCAAAACCCATAAAATGTACACCAAAGATGAATCCTAATATGAACCATGTACTATAGGTGATAATATATATACATGTAGGTTCATTGAATGTAAAAAAAATGTACTGCTCTGATGAGGAATGTTGATAGGGAGGCTGTGAGTATGGGGAGAAGGTAGAGTTATATGGGAACTCTCTGTATTTTCTGTTCAATTTTGTTATACACCTTAATGTTTTTTTTTTTTTTTTTTAAATAGTCTATTAAAAATGTCACGGGTCATTAAAAACTCCACCATGAGACTGCAAGTATCTATTCATTTCTTGCCAACTAGATTTGAGAATACAGCCAGCAATGAAAATATGAATTTACATTAAGTCAAAGGATAAAGTAGAATTTTAAAACCAGCTGCCATTACTCACATTATTTATTTATAGGCTATTGTATAATTGCAGAATTGTGCTGAATAAAGACAAATACATTCTCTTTATTGAAGAACTTACAATCCAAAGATCAAATGAAAATTTAGAAACAACCTTATTTGCTCAGGAACATCAAACTAAGCATTCTAATAGAAGAAGTTAATTCCAAAAGACTTCTTATGTGGACAAGATTTTTTATCCCATATTTATAATTTTTGCACCTACTTACATATTGAGAAAAACCATACTGTTCTCACTTTGGTCTAAGTGTTGGCCTGTATGTCTTCTTTTCAATTGGTAAATTATAATAGCTCTGTATTTAATGAGTCTAACAATATTAAACAAATGGCATTAAATTACACTCCAAACACTAAATAGCTTTAATTTGGGAAGAAGAATTCCTGGAGTCTCGCTGAACAATTATCAGTCATTCAGAATTGCTCAACGTAATATAAAAAGTTCTGTGCTTAAAAAATTCAGAAACAGCAGCATTATACAGTTGGAGAGCTCACTTCTTCTTCTTCTGGGCATTTACATTTGTCTTATGTGTTCCTATAACTAGTTCTTGGTTGCTTTAGTTTCCTTCTTTTCTTTTTCTGTTTGGGCTAAGTAAGTAGTTTCCCCTAATGTAATTTAAAGCTTAATACATAAATTAAACTCACTTTCCTCTTGAAGATTTTCTGTGGGTTTCTGGTTAGAGAATACAGCTCCACGCTCTGGAGCCATAGAATATTACGAGCACACCGAAGCTTTTGGACCAGCACTCTCCCTTACCACTTTCCGTTCTAACAGTACTGAGCCACTTCAAAGTTGCCCCAAAGCACCAGCGTTTTATTCCTCTCTGGAGCTGCGCATACTCTTTTTCCACTTGCAATGTTCTATCCTCCCTCTGCTTGGCTTAATCCCTTGTCAGCTTTGAAAACGGGTCTGTGTGTTCCCTTCGCCGGGAAACTCATCTTCGGGGCTTCAAAAGGCTTAAGCACTCCACGTGCTTCAACCCAGGAGCTTACTCAGATACCATGTATATTTCAAATGATGTTTCTGATTCATGGTGCCATACTGTAAATTATTATTTTAAAAGATGTCCCCCTTTGAGTGAGTAGGATTTGTGTCTGACTAGATGCTACGTTTTGTTCATCTTTGTGCTCCCATCCCCTCACACATTGCCTGCCCCATAACAATTGCGTAAGAAATAATTAGTTTAATGAAATGATACTTATTACTCTATCCCTGACACAGAGTGGTGTTTTACCTATAACCTAAAATATAGTTGTCTACTGTTTACAAATCAAAGTTTATCCTTGATAAATTAGCATCCTCACCACGCATCCCTATCCCACCCGACCCCTGCCCTCAGCCCCTGAACTCTTTGAACTTGAATAAGAAGCTGTTTTATTCTGGCAGTTTTTGCCAGAATAAAAGTGAGTCTAACAGAAGTCAGTCCAACGGAAATGCATTAATGCAGGCTGGATTTGCCTAGACATCAATAAACTCGAAATGCTCCCTGCGGGCCACTTGTAGTGTCAATAAAGGTTCGTAATTACTTGCTCCTTGGAGCATTTTTATTCCCGACCCCGTTCGCTGTGCTGCGAGGATGAAACTCAAGATCTCACAAGTTCTTAACTTCCTAAACTCTAGAGGAAGTATGGTAAACACTGGAGGGAACTTCAGGTTTCTAAGCAAAGATGCTGGCAGTTTTCGTTGCTATTTTAAGCTGTCAGGCGACAAGCAACTCAGAATTCCCCTTCTTACTTCCGGCAGGAGGGAAGATTGGAATTGGGCCTCATCATTTCTGAGCATGAAAGACCGCTGAAGCTACTGTTTAACCTGAAGGAACGAGGAGTTCAACTGGAGAGAAACTCTGGCGACCAGGGAGCTGGGGATGGGCGCATATAGATGAGGGAAATCCTGGTTCCAATACCTTGTCTCATGCTAGAGGTGCCTCCCAACCTACCAGACCACATTAAAAACCGGGACCAAGGCGTGGTACTAACAGAGTAGCAAGCATCTCCTCCAGTGAGCGCAAGGACCAAAGGATGGAGGAGAGGTACTCAGAGTGAGAGCTCGAACACAGAACTCTTGAAAACTGTCCCTGCCACCCAGTACAAATATGAAAAATGGTAGGACGGAGGAGAGGTGACAATCAGAGGCTGTATATATATGTATATATAATTGAGACTTTTGGAGAGGACTTTGTTCTTCCTTCCTCCCCTCCCTTTTCTTTCCTTTCCTTCTTTCTTTCCTTCGTTTCTTGGTATCCAAATGTGTGTAGGTGTATTTGCGTTTAAAAGAGAGATCTGGTAGCTGCTTTTTTTTCAGAACCCTGTTTCTTCGCAATGAAGTTTAAGCGGGACTGGAGTTTCCTTGACTTCTGCGTGAGGAGTTTCCAAATGAGAATTAAAGGGAGGAGCATAAATATCCATGAAGTTCCTAATGACACCTCTATCATCACTTGTTTCCTTCAGCATGCTGAACCAGGGTCGTCGTCCACCACCCATGCAGAGTGGGCTGATCGCCTAACAGGTTCATGCGTGTCTTTCCAGATTGAGCTGTTGGTGGAATAATAAAAGTCTTCTTCCTTCCATCCCCACCCCGGCACCCCGTTTCACTCCACCTCGGAGGGCTTGTTTTTGCGTGTGAGGGTGTGTGTTTAGCAAAAGCGATTGAAAGAAGGTACTCCTCTTGCAATCCACCCCTAGCTCTACCCGAAGCATTCCTCGGGCGGGACGCTTTTGTAATCTGTCCCCAGGCGAGGTGCCCTCTCACCTAGATGCGGATAGACTATCTTGGAGCCCCCAGGTCCAGAGAGCTGATGCTTTGATGTCCCAGGAGAGTGTGTGTGGCTCTGTGTGTACGTGTGTGTGCGTATGTATGTATGTATATGTGTATGTGCGTGAGCTCGCAGGCGCGTAGCACTGTGAGCTTCCTCTCCCGGCACAGAGCAGGCAGCGCCGGGGACGTTACTCTCCAAGCAGCCTCCGCCCCCTTAGCCTGGTGATTGGCTTTGCGCAGCGTTTATCTCCTAGCAAGAGGGAAGGGCCAGTGACGCCCCCGAACCCAGCTGCAGAAGCTGCCGCCACCTCCAACGCACAAGGTGTCTCATCTGAAAAGAAACCTGAGCCCCAGGGAGGAGGCGCTGAGCGACCCTGGCAGAGCTGGCGCGGACGGGGCGAGAGGTCGCTGGGCAGCGCTCGAGGACAAGAGGGAGCTGGGTCACAGAAGACCCCAGCGATCTGATCCTGGGATCCCGGCTCCAAGCTCTCCTAGCATTTTACAGATTTCAGCCCCGCGACTATCTCCCCAAAACGGAGTCTTTATATCAAGAGAAGGTGCCGGAGCTGGGGCAACCAGGACTTTCCCGGGCACCCAAGATGCGCTCCATTAGGAAGAGGTGGACGATCTGCACAATAAGTCTGCTCCTGATCTTTTATAAGACAAAAGAAATAGCAAGAACTGAGGAGCACCAGGAGACGCAACTAATCGGGTAAATGCAAAGCTTCATTTCAGGATGTGACAAAAAGTCAAGCCATAAATGAAATGTGAATATAGAGGGTAGAGTGGTGGTTAGGATAGCATGTGTGTGTGTTTGAGCTTGCGTGTGGTTAGTGTCATGAATTAAACAACAAAGGCTGTTGTTGAGATGTGCGTGGTTCTCTAAGCTGTTCCCAGTATGAGTTCAACTTGCTCTGTGCGGTTGTGGTGACAGTTGTGTTGGCCCTGGGTGCTCTCACGCCAAAGGAGAAGTCACTGCAGAAGTGTCAACAAAGAACGTGTGCCCTTGTCCTTTTAATCTGTGGACAGAGAGAGATGTCTTTATTCACCAAACGGTTGCCTGTTTTATCTGTCCTATCACCTAAGGAGATACTGGAGATTGATGGTTTCTTGAAGGGCTGAAGCTAAAGCTTAGAAAGCAGGAAATAGGTATACTCTGTTTCTCTATTTTTTTTTTTTTCTTTTTGACGTTGGATAGATTAATGTAGTATAATTTGAGTTAGAAACTCCAGTACCACTAAGGATACTTCCTTATTTGTTCTTCTATGGGTAAAACGCATGGGCGTCATGGTTACAGTTTTAGAAAGAAACTGGGTACTGTAGCTTCACAGAGACGATATTTCTGCTATTTTTTTTTTTAGTTTCTCTAGATGAGTTCAGACTCTCCTCCGCCCCATTAAGTTCTCTAAATATCACACTTCCTTCCACCCGCTGGCCTCTGTGTCTTTGAAGTTTACCCAGGAGGTGGTGCAACTTTGTGTTGCTGACATAGCCTGGAAGCCTTTTTCTGAGGATGTGGACCTGATTGTCAACTCTATTCAAAGTCCTGTTTCGGAAGTCCTCCCTGTTCCGGTTTGGAGGCGTCCTCTATCAGAAACTACACACCAGCAGAGATGCCTGCCCAGTTTATATTTTTATCTGACACTGATTAAAACAAAACAGTCCTTGCGCGCGTGTGTGTGTGTGTTTGTGTGTGTGTGTGTGATGGGACTGCTAACACACACACATGCTCTTAAACTTCCTGCACTCCATTTCTTAATATTCCTGCTCCCTAGGTAATAAGCATTTATTTAAGTGAGCAAGATGCAGGTTTATCCTTACAGAAGGACTTGCTATTCTGTAGAAAACCGGGATAACAGTAGCACAGTCAATGAGGACTGGAAGAGAATGAAAAAGCTAGCAAGGAATGGACTGGAATGGTCGTTATGCATCAACGAATCTAAACATGGTCTATTCTGAGGGGGTAAAAGAGACCGGTATGAGGTCGTTTACACAAGACTGGGTGGCTTGAATATCCAATCTGGCTCAATTGTTAGAAAAGCAGGACTTTCGGCAGGGGCGTGGGCATCCCTTGCAGACCTGTGCTTGACAGGCAGACAAAGGGGTCTTTAGAAAGGTGATGAATGGGCGCGTGGGGCTCCGATGAGAGGCAGAGACAGAGCGTGAGGGTCGAGGCTCTTTGTTCCCTCCTGGGCGGTGGGCTAAGAAGATAAGCCTGATCTCAGACAAAGCGGCTAAGGCTCACTAGGGCTCCGAGGGTTCGGGCCCTTGGCTCGGACCCTGGAGAGCAGAAGTGGGCGGGGCGAGTGAGGAGAGGGTCGCCAGATACTGCCGAGGTGTCCGTCTCCAAGCCTCCCTAAACCGTGGCCAGGAAAAGGAGCGCGCCTCGAATCCCTGCGGGGGAAGTGGAGCCGGGACACTCCACATTGCACGGGTGTCATTTCTCCTGTGGCCTTTCCTGGACGTCGCCGACTGATGAAAGCAGCCCTAGGCGTTAGGCAGAGGAGGCGGGCACGGGCGCGGCAGTTGAGCTAGCCGGGCTGGGCTTTTGCCCGCATCCTTTTCAAGCTGAGGCAGTTTCCTCCCAGCTTGGCTGAGAAGGCGTTGGGGCAGGCGCTTGAGTTAACCAAACAGGAAGAGAGGCGCGCACCGGGGCTATCCCCCTGCTCCCAGAGCGCTGGCGGCGAGGGGGAAAGAATGAGTGAGAAGACAGGGGCAAGTCTTTATTGCAGGACTCAGGCCCCTTTCCTCCCTCCCCCCCCCCCCCCCCCCCCCCCCACACACACACACACCAAAGTCACTTTCAACGCTCAGTTCGCAAGTGGCTCCTCCTCCTTAATTAAAACCCGCAATGGCAGTCTGGTGGGGCGAGGCAGAGGGCTGACCGCGAACATCGCGCTTACATCCGTACCCTGTAGCGTCCTGGCTGCTTTGGCTCTTCCTGAGAGACCGAGACTGTGGATGGAGTTGGAGCTCCAGGAACAATGCGAGGACATCTAGGCTCCCTGAGCACTGTTTCCTTTTTCTCCAGGATGAAAGGTTCAGTGGAAAAGCTTGTGACTCGAGCTCGTTATTTCGTTTCAACTCCCAAATAGCACTTCTGGTAGAGGAGTTGACTCATGAAGCGATCTAATCATCTCATTGACTCTCTTTCTACCCAAGCCACGTGGAGAGGCCAGTTTTGAGTAAACTGGAATGGAGGTTCGACTCCAGATCCCAGTCCAGTATTCAAGTGAGGTAACCAAGGCAGTCTCTGGCCTTTGGGGGGCACTGCGAGCCTTGTGGCTTGGCAGCAGTTTCAAAGAATGGCCTTCCTTAGTCCTTGAATCTTGCGTCACCACCCCAGATTCATATTTAGCTTTTCTGCTACCATTTTTGCCATACACAGGCAGTTCCTTTATCCTTTCGACCCTTCCCCCGCAACTGAAGGTCCCATCTATAGTTACTATAGTCCCATCATTCCACGCAGATGGAAAAATAGAGAACCAGCACAACCTTCTCACCAACCATCCACACTCTCATATCTCCAAAGGAATACCTGTGGCATGTTTTGTTTTCTTTTGTTTTGTTTTTAAAATATATATATAAGGAATTGTTCCAGCATAGGTCAAGTAATGATTATTGAACATCTAAAATTCATGTTTCCTTCCACGAAAGCCTATTAGTTAATAAAGTTTAAGTCAAAGAGCAGTGAAGGCATTAAGTGGTGTGTTCTTGAGTAACTTTTCTTTCTTAATAGACCTCACAGTTGGCTTATGACTTAACTAGCTCTTTGTGCTCTTTTGGATATGGCTGGAAATGTGTTAATGTAAGGCTCCCACAGGTAAAATATGTAAGCATCCTCATTTAATGAGATAATATATTTGAAAGTGTAACATAGACTTTAATGTCACATAAATATTTGTTTTGTTAGTCCTTAAATCTTGCTACACACTTGCTACACACTATTTTTCTGGTTGACTACAAATGAGACTAACTAACTTTTCTTATTATCCAGAAATCTCCCTTATAATTTGAGTATGTACTTTAGGTTGTGTTACTAAGTAATCAACAATATTAGTTCTGAAACCTATGATAAAATTGAAAGTGGAAATAAGTATTTTTACTTAGAGTATTACCATTGACAGCAAAGTTAGTTCCAGTTTGTTCTAGGTTGAAACACAACCTCGTGAAATCTAGAATTTGCACTTTACTTCACATTTCACATTTCACAATTCTAATAAAACTCATAAGCAATAAATTAAGGTAGAACTTATCATCTTTATTTTTAGTTGTTTGACACTTAGGTAATGAAAATACAAAATGGCCTGCTGTGTGTGTTCAGGCTTAGTTGCATGCAAATTCTTTTCTTAAAATTTTTATATTAAAGAGGAAGTTTAACCTAGTCCAAAGGGAACAAATACATTCAAAAGCCAAGTCATGAAGAGTTTCAGTGGGGTGGAATACGGGGCTTTTGAGACCTAATGCCATGAAGTGAAATTAATCATATGTCTTACGTATTGCAAATCTATTAGAGTAACTTGTGGTGAAGCCTGGAAATATTTGTAGATACTAGGTTGCCTAAAAAGTGATTAATTCCTGCCACTGGTATCACATGGATGATTATCTTAGTGAATTTTTCTTTGCTCCATATAAGCAGGGATCCTTTGTATTATATTGATTTGTGCAGAGTGATTTCTTTGATGTGTTTTGCTCTTTTCCTTGTAAAAGTACGTATTGAATCTTCTTGTAGATGATCCTATGCAATAAATGTTTTCAGTGCAGCTGTTCAAAAGTCATGTCTGATCTGGAATGAGAAATAAGTCGAGGGGTGGCAACATCCTTCGAGCTTCGCATTCATGGGAAGGAAGAGCCTTTTCTGAGACAGAATGCTACCAGGGTCATGAGTGAAACATCCCATGGGACCCATTTAACTTTATACAGAGAAATTTACCCTAGAGCTTCAGATTGTACTAAGTGGCCTTCTCCCACACTGAGTATAAGAAGTGTGACTAGTTGTAGATATTTTCATTCAAAATTCTTTCCAGTGATAAAAGTCTGAAATTTGGCTTATCACCAGCTCAATGAAAGAAATTCAAACAGCAGAGTAAGACGGTAGCATTTTATTCATAGAACACTGATTTAAACTTTTTAAATCTTGGATATTCTGAAAAGGTTTGGAACAACTGAAAACATCATAGCAAACATTCTGCCATGTAAAAATGTATCTGTGTTTACATGTCAATGAAGCAATCATCTATAGATTATCTATTTAATTAATTACTTAGTTTTTAGAGACAGGGACTTGTGATGTTACTCAGACTTGTCTCTTACTCCTAGGATCAAGTAATCCCCTCACCTCAGCCTCCTGAGTAGGCACTGCCCACCATACCCTGATTTTCCACACATCTTAAAGAGTGCAAGTCCATGTATATTTTTATTTCTCCTATGAAAATTTATTGGTGGTGAAAATAATTATTATAATGATATCAATCTGTGGTTAGAAAAAGATGACATTGATACATCAATTAATAAGGTGATGATTAGAAATATTTCTTATCCCCAGAAATAGTGATAGTTTGCACCTGAAACCATGTAGTCATATCTCCCAAAGTGTGAATGTTAGCTTCTGTGTATAGTCACATTTTTATTCATAAGAAGTTATTATCATTAGAAATATAATATAAAAATTGACTTCTAGGCCAATGGTCAGTAAAGCACATCCCGTGTTTCCTGGCATCCTAAATGCCCCCTGTAAAGCAATAATTATTTGCCATGCACAGGCATGCAAATGTATCATTTTCATCAGTAGGATAGTTTAAGATATTAATTTTTATAGAATTCTGAATTTCACAGGGAGTAGCAGCCTATGATGCTTTGAACTGCTTCAAATTTAAACTACATGTTAAAAAGGAATGCAAACCAAAATACCAAACTACAAGGCTTCAATTACAGAACTCATCCAATAACTGTTACACAGGCAATGTTTCCATTGATACTAGGAGAGGATTGTGAAAAAAAAAAAAAAAAAAAAAAAAAAACCCACAGATTTAGACTTTGTTATGGAGCAAATAGTCATGTTACTTTTTAACTATATTTTGACATTCTAAGAAGTAAAAGGTGATGTAAAGAAATAAATACAAATATTCAAAGGGCTATGGTTACTATTGGTATCCCATAAGAAGTAGTTTTTAGATTTTCTGAGTCTGGGTTTACATTTATAAAGTACAAGAAAATGGTCCATTGAATAATGAATGTATTCAGTTATAAATGTTCTAATGGCATGCATACTATTATAGGTATCTGCCAGCATCATCACTCCCACCACCATCTCAGCTAGTATCATGCCCCATGATATACTAGCTTGACACTATTGGTTGCAGAGAGGTAGTCTTTTTTTTTTTTTTTTTTTTTTTAATGTAAGAGAAAATGCCAGTAACAATGGCTACTGAATGAGTTTTCTGTCTACTATAATCTCTGTCTCTCCACCAACTGTCAGGGAAGTGACTCATTGTTGAGATGTTTTGAAATCGATGCAATTTTTGAAAAATTACTTTTGCATGCAGAGCCTTGCTTGATCCTCACAAAGCCATTGTATATTAGATAAAGTTACTGTAATTTTCAAGGTAAGGTAAGACCACTATGGCTTAGAAAGAGAGTAGAGTCCAGGAACTCAAGCAAGTCATAGAGTCACAAAGATGCCCAGATCACCTGATAGTCCAAGTTATTCTTGCTTCAAAACAGAAGCCCCTTCTATTATGCATATATACCTTCTGTAAAAATGAAATTACAGTCTTAGGAATCACAATTATACAGATGGAGGAGCACTGACAAAACATTCTGTCTCTGTTGTCTAAACAGAGCTAGTGAGTGACTAGTAGGAAACAGAGCTTATTTGTTTTATCATATTTTAATTGCCAAATAATAATTGTATATGTTTATGGGATACAAATGTGAAGTTTCTATACAAGTATACACTGTGTAGTGATAAGATCAGGCTAATTAGCATACCCATCACCTCAAAAGCATGTCATTTATTTGTGGTGTGAACATTTAAAATCTCCTGCAGCTACATAAAAATATACAATACAATATTATTAACTATAGTCACTGTGTTATGCAACAGAACTTATTCCTCCTGTCTAACTGTGAAATTTTGTACCTGTTGACCAATTTCTCCCCATTCCCCACTCCTTCTTCCCTATATTCTGTTCTCTACTTCCATAAGTTCCACTGTTTTAGAATCAACATGTAAGTGATATTAAAAGGTATTTGTCTCTCTGTTTTAGACTTATTCACTTCCCATAATGTCCTCTAGGTTCATTCATGTTGGCAGAAATGGCAGGATTTTTTTCTTTTTAAGGGCTGACTAGTACTCCATTGGTATATATAACCACATTTTCTTTGTCTATTCCTCTGTTAATGGACACATATATTATTTCTACATCTTGGCTATTGTGAAGAATGCTGCAATGAACTTGGGACTGCAAGCATCTCTTTGACATACTGATTTCAATTCCTTTGGGTATATGCCCAGAGGAGAGATTGCTGAATTATGTAATTCTGTCTTTATATTTGGTGATTATTTTTCTTCAAGTACCATATATATCATTTTTTATTCAGAAATTGTTTAATTTCAAAAATATTACCTGTAGATTCTTGTTCTGAGAGTCATATTCACTTAATCCTCATAACACCTTTCATCATGCTTGCATATTTCCTTCTAACTTGTAGGGGAAAAGGTATCTAAAATTCATCACCAGTATTAATTCAAATTGTGTACTGTGCTATATAGACAAAATGTTTCTTACTTTCACAAAGCTGGCAATTTTGTTTTGTTTCAGAGATGGTGAATTGTCTTTGAGTCGGTCACTTGTCAATAGCTCTGATAAAATCATTCGAAAGGCTGGCTCTTCAATCTTCCAGCACAATGTAGAAGGTTGGAAAATCAATTTCTCTTTGGTCCTAGAGATAAGGTGAGTTTCTTTACTAAGGCATAATAAATTTCACATCATGTCCTCAAATATGTTGGGCTTAGCAAACTTATATTAAACACCTGATTTATGGTTTAAGTATGAATACTTAAATAAAATAATGAACCAGCTCTATTTAATGTTGTTCACTGAAGAATATGAAATCATAAAACTGAAATCATTACATAGTCAGAGATTTAAGGATGAATATGTGAGTTTTGAATATAGTGTCTTTATACGAGTGGAATACAATATTCATCAGAGTACTAACATTTAACATACTTCACTCAATTACTCAGGATGGACACATATATTAAGAATTATCTTTAACTTCCCTATTGAGTCTTCATTCTGCTTTTGGGTTTTCTCAACTAGTTGAAAATTGAGCCTATTACACTCCTCTTGTGCTGACGATTATAAATAAATTAGTCTTATCCTGTGAATGAGTACTTCTGTGTGGGCTCATGTTTTAAAAATTGGATAAAAATCAGAAAATAAGATTTCTAGATTACTGACTTCTTTGTAAGACTAGTCATTTTAGCTGAAACCCACTCTTGAAATCATACTCCATGCCTACATTTATCCAGTATGTAATTTTCTTCTGATATAAACCTGTTACTAATAAGAAAGGTAGGGTCACAGCTTCTCAATTATGGAGGAAACAGGAAGATTGTTTTTTTCTCTATAGTTACATTGCATTACTATATTGGTTGGTACATTTGAATTAAAGCATTTCAGTAAACAAGAACTCACTAAAAGTGTGAAAGAACACATTTGTTATATAATAAAATAATCTCAAAGTCAATGAATAGTTCGCATTAACACAGATTTTATAGGTGTAGCTTAGTGACTAAGATATAAGGGGCTGATTAATTTTTGTGGGTTTCTACCTACTCATTTCTTGGATTATACCCACCTTTAGTGTAGATTATAAGAAACTTGAAGGAAGAGTCTACTAGTCTATTACACTCATCTTTAGAGTATGCACAGAAATTTCACACAATGTTTTGGAGCAAAGATAATTACAGCATGTTGAAATTTACTTGAACGAATGTCTGGAAATTTTAAAAATACGGGCATCAGGGAGATGCAGGAATAGTATTACTACTTTGGTTTAAAGGTTTGAAATTGACTGGAAAGGGAAACAGGAATCAAATCATGGCAATGTCAAGTGGTGTATATTTGTTTGCTTTTAGTTTGGTGGGAGCTTTCTATATTCATGTGCCTCCTACAATAATGAATAGATAAGTAGAATCTGATGATAGAGCTCATAAATCAATGACTTCTGGGTAAAATATGGCCAGCAAGCAAAATTTATTTCCACTGGATAAAGAAAAAAGAAACCTTAAAGCCAATATTAAAAGCCAGGAGGTTTTTTAATAAAAGTACAGATTTCCATAAACTCTTGAGAAATTGAAAGATTTGAAAACTCTGAATCTGTACTCTTCCTAACATTTAGCTGGTTAAAGCTGACCCTAGCCATGGTCTCTCAAGTTTGACATTTTCATACTTGGAGCTCACATCTTTCATGATACCTGTCAAGTGCATTCTTCTCTGTCTCATATCCCCATCCTCATATTTGAATTTAGAAACCCTGTGAGAGATGAGATAATTATGAGGAAAAAGCCACAAGATGTGAGACGATGTGTGGTTACAAACACAGATATACTTTGGTTTAGAATGGTGTGAAGGTTCATGTTTCTTGAAGGTACATTGGAAAAAGAGAGAGATAGGTGATTAAATAGCAAAAATTTGATCTGTAAGCAGAAAAATAACTTTCAAATTGGATGGGTTAGCAAGAAAGGGGCCAAATAAGGCTACAGAGATCTGGTAAAGAAATCTGATGGAAGAAAATAAAATAAAATATTGTAATAGTTTAACTAGCATATCTAGCCATGCTAAATAATGTGTCAGATAACAAAAAATCTATTAAGTAAATTAAATAAGTAATTGGCACTAGTTCAATTATTATATCTGGTAATGCCTTTCCTAATAGCTATATAAAAATCAAATACTATAAATATGCATGAGGCTTTATACATTTTGCTATTAATAACATATTCAAGTGAAGGGTAATAAACCTAAGTTGACCCAGAAGATTCATATTACAACTTTACAAACCAATGAGCATTGCATTCAGGTATTTGAGGGTGATCTATTTTCAATTATAATAGCTGATAATATGAATGAAATGTTAGTACTATATTTGTGTGCTTCTCCTTAACAGATTAAAGAAATAAACAATAAAACAATGAACAAATGTTGAATAATACATACAAGGTTGTCACTTTCTTGAAAGGAAAGGATAATTTGAAAAACCATTATTGTACAATGTACAAAGAGTTCATAAAAATTAGAATTGGCTATAGCAGAAATGACTAGTGAGTATTAATCAGTTTGACACCTGCAATAAAAAATTTAGAATATGAAAGTATCTGACTGTTGGCTTAGCTTTTGCAAATATTTTTAAAAGACATATTGAAAACTAATTATGGACCATTTATTACTATTATTATTATTATTATTATTATTTTATTTCTTCCTCACCTTTCTGGCATTTAAGAATTTCCATATCACTTTGGGTCAGTGATTGGCTGTGGGTAAATTTTAAAAATGTTTTCAAAATTCTACTTTTAAATTTTTGTTTATTTTATTTTCTATTTTACTTTAAGTTCCAGGATGTGTGCAGAACATGCAGGTTTGTTACATAGGTATATATGTGCCATGGTGGTTTGCTGCACCTATCAACCCATCATCTACGCTTTAAACCCTGCATGCATAAAGTATTTGTCCCAATGCTCTCCCTCCCCTTGTCCATCGCCTTACGACAGGCCCAGGTGTGTGATGGTCCCCTCCCTGTGTCCATGTGTTCTCATTGTTCAACTCCCACTTATGAGTGAGAACATAAAGACATTATTTCCAACCAATTTTTATCTTACATGATTCAACTATGATTATAAATCTTTCAAATTTAAAAATCTTATTAAACTTGTAATACTTTTATTATATTCCTAATTTTGTCCACATATTAAAATGTGAAAATAGTTCCTGATATATATTTTTTTACATTTGTAGATATGATTTTCATCCCTATTACTAGCCCCTTCATTCCCATATGCCTTATATTATTTTCATAAGCACACCAAGAATTGGTTCATATGTATTCATCAAACAACTGTACTTCTATGGAGTTGTCTATGAGAGATGGTTCCATGTGTTACTTCACTGTACTTTGAGGATTCAATATATATGGAGTTTATGCATTCTACAGCTAACTTTGCACTCAAAATAATTATCTTAGTTTTAAGGCTTGATATTATTGATAAAAGTTTGTTCTTTATTACTACAAGCTAAGAAATGACATATTTAAGATCCATTAGATGTTGTGAATAAATCTGTGAACATCGTACTGAGAGATTATACAGTCAGGTCCAACACTTGCAACTTGACTTTTTTTCCATATTTGGATTATTTATTTTCTTTTTTTGTTGTTGTTTTTTATATGTTGACTAGAAACCTCAAACAGTGCAAACATGAATTATGGATGTATAGAAACGTACAAATGTACACATCAGGACAGCTTTATCACATCAAAATTAGGAAACAATATTTCAGCTCTTAGTGTCATGATATATCAATGATCTGAAATACATAAAACTTGCAGGTTAACTAAACATAATTGCAAATTTATAGATGCTTAACTGACAAGAAAAATTTCCTTTTGCATATATAGATGTACTTTACAAAAAGGTATACATACAATGTGTATACCATCTTCCACTGGCTTTGATCAATAAGTTACCAGTAGAGTTAATCTCGGGTCACAAAGCTTATTAGTGGCAGTGTCAAGATTCAAGCCCAGACCTCCTGACTGAGGAACCAGGACCTTATAAATATTTTTTTTGTTAATAATATATTTTAGTACCCAAATGTATATTATTAAAATTTATCATTATGGAATAAATGATTCTCTTTGCTCTAAAATAACACAAGATATTTTTCATTCAACATTACCAAATGCTGGGCCAAATATCAAACGGCAGTCTAGGGTGTAAATTAAACTAAAAATGCTCTTCATCAAGTATTGTGGGACAATTTTGCCTTTTCATTTGTTGTGTTTAGGATTTTTTTTTTTTTTTTTTTTTTTTTTTTTTTTTTTTGAGGGTACTAAGATGGCTTTCCCATAACTGCTAGGACTTAGAAATCCTAAACAATATACAGTTAAAGGTTTTATTTTTTCAGTGCTTTAAGGCAAGTTTCCTTGCAAAAATAATCTTTTGAAATAAACAAATAAACAAAATGTGTGTTCTCTCTGTTTTTTTGTAGGCATAATGAAACACTTGGCATTTTTTAATTTTACTTTTTATTTTCTTTTAGTGAACTGTGTCAGTACTAACTTAATTTACAGTGATTTTTCTTGTAGTCAGTGTCTAAAGTTTGCAAAAACTGATTCTTAATATATGTATCATAGCCTAATTTGCTTCTCAACTTGTGATACATTCCACCTATAAGATTTGTCACACAGCATTTTCTGACATAGTTAACAATGTCATTTAGATTAAATTATAGTTGCAACTGTGTGCTTATTATTGCCAAGAAACTTACAGAGAAGAGTGGCACTTGGTGATAGCTTAGCTATATTTAACTTTTCACAAGTGAAAACTTGTTACTAAACAATGTTTAGTAAATTCATTTTCTGGGATTCTGCACTTGCTATTTCAAGTGATAGGTGATGTTAAAAGGGAAGTTCCAGTTGAAAATTCAGTTAAAAGTTTCCGTGTAGAACTCTACTTGTTGTCAGTTCAACAGTCCAAACCAACCTCTCAGTTTAAGGCTGATATTGCCTAACAATAAATAATTTCTATGACTAAGATACTTAGTTTCACTGAAAATGAAACACATTTTCAGATTCCTTCAGTTATCTTTAACGTCAAAATAGTTACTCAATTTAGGTGTTTGCTTATCTTATGAAGCTTCAAAAGTTGCATTATGATCACAAAATGACAGTTAAAGACCTGTGAAGGGTCTTTTTTTGGTTTGTCTGTTCTTTTGAGTCATGCACAGAAAACACAACCCCCTGCTTTGAATATCGGGTAATAACTTTACCAGGAAAACTTGTACTGGTAAAGCATGCATATTAAGCATTAGCTTTTGTTGATTCATGTTTCTCTAGATAGAGCATGGATATTAAAGCCAGTTTTCTTTCTACCTCTCTCATTTCTCAAATAATTTTGTTTGACCTGCAGTTAAACAAAAATTTCTATCAATTGTCTTCTTAGCAAAAGCATATGTGTTCTCCTTGGTGACATGGTGTTGTTTCAGTTCAGTGTAAATACAGGAGTTTTCTGTGCTTCCAGTGACATTTAGCTAATTATATTTGAATGCATTTTTTTTTCATATTTATAATCTGAACAACAACTAGACTTAGCAAATTCACAAAGCTTTTAATTCTGCATTACATCTACAGTCTAAAAACTGTTTTCACTAGGAGATAAAAAGCTAACCTTTTCTTACCGTTTCCAGAAATTATTAAGCACTTAAGTCATAATATTATTCACTCATAGTAATTACTTTCAGTCTTTCTTGGAGCCTAGAAAAGGAATCTTAACTCAGATAACTTCCCATATGTAGAAGACCTAAAACAGAAACTAAAAGTTTGGTTCGGGAATAAGAAAAAAAAAATAAAACAAAAACAAAAACAAAAAAACCCAGAGTCACTAAAGTTTACCTCTTTTACTTTTTACTTTGTAAAATAGCGAATTCTGAGTTTTGCCTAAACGTTTTGTGTTTTTGTATTTTGATTAGTCTATGTGAGTTGGTAGTCATTTTTGTTTTGAAATCACTTTTACTATTTTTACTGCTTCAATTGAAAAAAATACTGGCGAGCCTATAACAACATTGGAAAAACACGTAATTAAAATCTGCATTTAGTAATTATTTATCTTATTAAGCATTAGTTTCTTCTAAGAGTTAGACAATATGATGTCTTTCAAAACTTTGCTTAACTCTTATAGTTCCCCTTTTAAATCATTTTTTCCTAAGAGTAAATAAAGTAAAGAGATTTAATTACACTCAGGAACCTTTTTTTTTTTTTTTTTTTTTTTTTTGAGACAGAGTCTCACTCTGCCGCCCAGGCTGGAGTGCAGTGGCGCGATCTCGGCTCACTGCAAGCTCCGCCTCTCGGGTTAACGCCATTCTCCTGCCTCAGCCTCCAGAGTAGCTGGGACTACAGGCACCCACCACTACGCCCGGCTAATTTTTTTGTATTTTTAGTACAGACGGGGTTTCACTGTGTTAGCCAGGATGGTCTCCATCTCCTGACCTCGTGATCTGCCCGCCTCAGCCTCCCAAAGTGCTGGGATTACAGGCGTGAGCCACCGCGCCTGGCTATACTCAGGAACTTAAAAGACATGTTTTACATTATTTTTGCAACTAACTTGTCTGTAACACAGCAAAGGTGCTGCTATTGGAAAGTCCCTTTTGATGTTAGTTGACTAGCACGTAAGTGTTAACTTTTTTGACCAAATAAGATAGATTTTCCCGTTTGGACTTCCAAGCTACAGAGTCTTGGAAATCCAAACCAGGACCACTAATCTACTCACTGTAAGCTTGCAAACATGCCACTTCTTGGGAGTGTACATCTTCAAATAGCTCTACAGCAACCCATTTAAATTATATTCAAAGAAAAACGATAACACCATCTAGCTTGATGATTTAACCACATCCGTGTAGTCCCTATTTTAGAGCCAGCCTTGTCATTTACACAGGAAATGAGAAATTTCTGTTGAAGTACAGGTGTCAGATATTAATTATTCACCAGACAAATAAGTGGTACTCAATAAATATATACAAAAGTCTCTGCATATTGACACTTTTGGTTCTAGTTGTTAACTTTTGTGAAAAATCATTAAGTGCTTGACATAAACACTTTTGCAGTTTCTATAATGCATAAGCCCTAGGGTTTCTTATTTAAAATATAATTATCTTCTTATATAACCTGGACTTTGTTAAGATAAACTGTTATGGTGTGTCAGTGGTATTTCTATCAAATTTTGTGATTTCATTTGTAGAGTATTATATAGGCTTTCCTGTACAAATTCTACTGCTTTTAACCTGATATTCAGAATATTTGGGGAAAAAAATCATAAAATTATTTTTTCAACTAGGTGATGGACATATTTCTTGTTTATAAAATCAGAGCAGAGTTTTTCAATCACTTGGTTTTCTAATTAGAACAAATATTAAACTGGAACCTATTTAGAGCAAATAAAAATAAAGACAACAAAAGAAAAGATATGAGTTACTTTCCTCCCTTCTTTGCTAATCATGCTTATGCCTTCTGAGTTAGAGAATTACTCTTTTGATGGAGTCAAGGGATGAGGTTATATTCTGCTCTCAGTAATAAAATTTACCAATTGTGATGAACTTAAAAAGTAAGAGCACTAGAGGAAAAAATGTGTCCATCATATCTTAAATGTTAAAATAATGTCATTATTGTTATTACTTTGAAAATATAAGCTTGCACTAACAGCATTTTAGTAAATAATATCCAATTTCTAACCTAGGTGTAGAGTTTTCTTAAATTGTTTCTTGCTGTTATTATGTTGTATATCCCCTATTATGTTGGATACCCCTGGAATCAAACAATTCCAGACTTTTGTAGACCAGGTTCATAATTTGAGCTAAACACAGCCCCCTGCTTTGAATATCAGGTAATAACTTGACCACATAGTAGGAAAACTTGTACTGGTAAAGCATGCATATTAAGCATTAGATTTTGTTGATTCATGTTTCTCTAGAGCTGAGATGTTAAAGCCATATATATATATATATATATGAATGAATATGTATATATACACATATATACATATATATACACGTGTGTGTGTGTGTGTGTGTGTATATATATATACACATTTTTTTTTTCCTTAAAACCTACTAGGGTCCCGGACTCTTCCCTTCTCGTTAGTTCCAGGTATAAATAACCTCATCCAGTGATTTCTTCTGCTCACTGTTCTTAAGCCTTCGAACTCTCCTCTAAGTACTCTGACCTATCCTTCCCTCCTCTCAATTTAATGGCAGCTACCCTTAAGTCATTTGAATCTATGGACTTATATGGGAAGGCAATATCCCTTTTGCTGCCGGGATGGCTCCAATTTATAGTGGTATCTCTTGCTGATTGGGGTTACAGAAACATTTAAAAGGTCCCAATCAATAGACTCTCATACAGTTCAGATTACAGGCACTGCTAGATACGTATTCTCTTTTATCTCAGCCTGCAAGTTAGTTGGCTATTTTATGCCTGACTTCGCCTCTTTCAGTGCCTTGCTAAAAGGAGAAACTAACATAAACCAACATACAGACACATTTTAAACCATTATCCAAGAACAACATATTTATTAGATGTATGGCACAACTTCCCAATTATTGCAGACAGCATTTGTATCAGGTGCTTTTCTATATCATGCCAAGGATCATCAGTTCTCCAGCCAGCCATATATATGTATAGTATAATAATTATACATATATAGTATGTATATATATGTGTGTATATATATAAAAAATCATTTTCCATCATCTACCTAAGCATATGCATATATTTATGTTTATGTAGCTCTCAATCTGTTATCAATTTATATATTAGGTATGGGTTGGCTAAGTATCGACCAAAAAAGTAACTTTAAAATTTAGTGGCCAAACAAGTAGGAAATTTCTTTATTTCTCACATAAACTCACATGATCCACTCATATCCTATTTAATTAAGAAAACTAACTTGCATGACCCAGCTGAGCTCTACTTGGGTTTTGAGACTTGCTGAGCATCCATGTGACCAGGTAAAACTTAGAAGGTTCAAATATTAGAAGGAAAAAGAGAAGAAAGGAAACTAAGGAACAATTAGCTACCTCTGCCACACACAGTCCAATGTTCTATCTATTCATTTTGTCTTTGAAGTATCCATCTTACTTCCTGGACTCTTGATCTTAGAGAAAAAGTTGCATATATATTTATTGCTATAGTTTCAATTCTTCTTTAGATAATTATAATATACATATCATATGTATAAATGTATATAAGTTTGAGTTCATTCCTTTTAATAGCATTAACTGTGATACAATAAAAAACAATCTCAAATTATTTCTCTCCACCTTAACTAGATGATATTAAACAACATTTATGACTATCAAAATAGGCTGAAGCTAGCAGAATAACTATTCAAAGTCAAGTCATGGCAACTGTGTTCTACTTAATATACCAATTTTTCTATATATTTTGATAATTGGAGTACTTTTTATAACTCCACAAATAGATGTATATACTATATCTATGTACACAGTCATGAAGAATCTGTGCAAATTATTTTTTAAATTTTATTTCTTATAGAATCGACTTAATTCATTGGTTTAATCACCACCTAAGATTCATAGCTTGCCGATTTGGTAATCTAAGATTAATAGTTTGCCAATTTGTATTTTTTCTTATGTTACTTTTTAAATGACACCACCAGTTCTTGGATATGCTGATGGTAATATAAAAACTTTGCTTGTATTTCAAACACAGGAAGAACATACTTCGTTTCTTAGATGCAGAACGAGATGTCTCAGTGGTCAAGAGCAGTTTTAAGCCTGGTGATGTCATACACTATGTGCTTGATAGGCGCCGGACACTAAATATTTCTCATGATCTGCACAGCCTCCTACCTGAAGTTTCACCAATGAAGAATCGCAGGTTTAAGACCTGTGCTGTTGTTGGAAATTCTGGCATTTTGCTAGACAGTGAATGTGGAAAGGAGATTGACAGTCACAATTTTGTAATAAGGTGAGTTTTCTTCTGTTTTTTGAGATTGTAAGTTTTTCAAAGACATTTTACTTGGGGATGGAAAACTGTTAGAAAATTTTAAAGTACTACTAAAAGCTCAAACAAATATTTGTCTATGATATCCTTTTCTGTGTAACATTTAAATTACATTTACCCTGGAAGAGAATACTATAATTATTGCATAGTTGAAAGAAAAAGTGATCTCGTCACAGCAACAAGATTCACACAGCTTTTTTTGATGAGGGGGGAGGCAAATGGCAATTTTATTAAATTTAATATTCCACACAAACTTTTTTCTTAGTATCTCTTCTTCATATTCTATAGTTTTGTGTGATTGTATTTGGTGTATAAAGATTATCAATATTACTATGGAATGATGTAATAGATTTATGTTAATGTTACTTTTTATTAATAATTATCTAAGAGATAGTAAGAACATAGTTTAACAAGTTTATATTTGATATCCTGAGCCATATTTCTTTAATTTCTCTTTATATGTGATATTTGTGTATGTTAGTATATTTGAGTTTTATGGTTTTCTTACATAATTAAGCATGCATGTTTGTTTTTCATTAATGGTTAAAATACATTTGATGAATTGTGTGTTTGATTAATCTATTAACTGAAAAAACTCAACAGTAGAAATGGAATTATAATCACACCATAAATGTAAGCAGTTTTTAATGGTCAATTTTTATATCTGTACAGTTTTTTTTATTGTTTTAGTTCCTTAGAAAAATTAGCTAAATGAATGAAACATGGTTATTGAAATATGAAATAGTACAATTTAAAGATGGAAGAAAAGTATGCTGAGTTGACATGTTGAAAAAACCAGTCTCTTGAAGATATGCTGGAATACATTATTTTTGAATATTTTGAATATTTTTTGAATATTTTTGAAATAAAGTCTTAAAAGGAAAGATAACTAATTATGTATGTATTAAATCATAAATAGGCAACTACTTTAAAAAAAAAAAGTCATGAAAAATTACACCCAAGCATTATCAAGTGAAGAAAATGCATAACAGCAAATAAAACTGCAAACATTTTTTTCTTATTATCTTCCCTTTTCTCTCTTGGGTGCAGGGTCAGAGATTAATGTGAAATCAATTTAGCCTCTTAAAACTTGAACTCTTACACTAATTAGACTATGAGAGAAACCTTGTGAACAAGTAGATATAAACAAAGACAATTGTATAAATTTGATGAGGGAATGGCAATGGAAGTGGAAATCAGGAGCTTCAAATGTTGAAGTCTATGCAAAGTATAGCTGTGAAAAAATGTAAGGCCTCTAGAATTTCTGATGTGTCTAAATCATAAGGCAGGTAAAATAAAGAAGTAACGATGTCAAGGCATAATAAAAATTATTGCAATGTAAGGATTTCAGCAATCACAATAGGGAATTTTGAAAGGTGATAATACTGAAGGAAAATAGAGTCTAAATGACTTCTTATTTCTGCATCCCTCTAAACTTTGACACTGGGGGCCAAGTTGTTAGATTTAGCCCCAGCTGTGACTCCGAAATGAATACTGCTTTTACATGTGGGTAACGTAATGGCCTGATGCCAGTAGTCCCCAAAGTTTACGTCATTTCCTTATTGCTTCCTGATCTGGCTTTGTTACTCCAGCTTCTATTGACTGGGATTTTGCATTATTCCAATTCCTAAACTACTGAGTTCTTATCTCATGTGGAATTGTGTGTCCAATAAGTAGGTTCCTACACTCTTTCTCTGTCTTAAGAGTGGCTGGTGACCAACCTTGCTTTATACTACCACCTTTCATTTTCACTTTTCCTGCCTTCAATTTCTAGAAGTTATACAGCCTGCCCTATATCTCACTTCCCTGTAATTGGCTATGGCAAGCCTATAGGTTTCCAGATTTCTGGGATGTGGTCAACCTGTGAATAAAATTCTGATCTCAAAAAATCTTTCTGTCCACCCCTCTTATTCTAAAATTGAAGACTATTTTCTCTTTCACTGGCCAAGCAACAACTGGCCACTTGATAGTATTGCTTTCACAATTCTACTATGGACTACTGGGCATTTAGATCACTACTAAGCTACTCCGGTGCTACCTCAGCAAAATGCCTAGAACTTGATATTGTACATATACTTTCTCTTCCTTTTATGTTTTAGGCACGTAATTTCATGCCTACTTTTTATATTTAAAACCCTATAATCTGCCGTATATTAATGCACTCCAACTTCAATTTGGAATATTCTTTGATCATTCCTATAGTAACTCAACTCCAGTGATGTTCAGTAAACTGGTTTAACTGTTTTTACCCCATATTCTGTGGCTCCTAGATTCTTTATCTACCTTATTACTAACTATCAGATGAATTTGAATGTCTGTTCTTAGTTTCTTGTCTTCTATTGTCAATCAACAGGTCTACTTTTCTAGCAGAATATCGTTAGCACTTCCTTAAGTGGTCCGTTTTCATGCTGTTTATAAGGGCATACCTGAGACTGGGAAGAAAAAGAGGTTGAATTGGACTTACAGTTCCACATGGCTGGGAGGCTTCAGAATCATGGTGGGAGGTAAAAGGCACTTCTTACATGGCATCAGCAAGAGAAAATGAGGGAGATGCAAAAGCAGAAACCCCTGATAAAACCATCAGATCTCGTAAGACTTGTTCACTACCATGAGAACAGTATGGGGAAAACTGTCCCCATTATTCAAATTATCTCCCACCAGTCTCTCCTACAATACATGGGGATTATGGGAGTACAATTTGAGACGAGATTTAGGTGGGGACACAGCCAAACCATATAATTCCACCCCAGCCCCTCCAAATCTCATGTCCTCACATTTCAAAACCAGTCATGCCTTCCCAACAGTCCCTCAAAGTCTTGACTGATTTCAGAATTAACCCAAAAGTCCACAGTCCAAAGTTCCATCTGAGACAAGGCAAGTCCCTTATGCCTATGAGCCTGTAAAATCAAAAGCAAGCTAGTTCCTAGATACGATGGGAGCACAGTTATTGGGTAAATACAGCCATTCTAAATGGGAGAAATTGGCCAAAGCAAAAAGGTTACAGGCCCATGCCAGTCCAAAATCCAGTGGGGCAGTCAAATTTTAAAGCTCCAAAATGATCTCCTTTGATGCCAGGTCTCACGTCTAGGTCACGCTGATGCAAGAGAGGGTTTCCCATGGTCTTGGGCAGCTCAGTCCCTGTGACTTTGCAGGATATACCCTCCCATCTAGTTTCTTTCACGTGCTAGCATTGAGTGCAGTTTTTCCAGGCAAAGGGTGCAAGCTGTCTGTGGATCTACAATTCTGGGGTCTGAAGGATGGTGGCCCTCTTCTCACAGCTCTGCTAGGCAGTGCCCCAGTAGGGATTGTGTAGTGGGGTGCTCCAACCTCACATTTCCCTTTCACACTGCCCTTGCAGAGGTTATCTATGAGCACCCCGCCCCTGCAGCAAACTTCTGCCTAGGCATCTAGGCATTTCCATACATTTTCAGAAATATAGGCCCAGGTTCCCAAACCCGAATTCTTGAGTTCTGTGCACTCACAGGCTCAACATCAAACGGGAGCTGCAAAGGCTTGGGGCTTACACCCTCTGAAGCCACAGCCTGAGCTCTACATTGGCCCCTTTCAGCCATGACTGGAGCAGCTGGGATGCAGTGCACCAAGTCCTTAGGCTGCATACAGGGATCCTGGGCCCAGCCCATGATACCATTTTCTCCTAGGTCTCCAGGTCTGTGATGGGAGGGGCTGCTGTGAAGACCTCTGACATGCCTTGGAGACATTTTCCCCATTGTCTTAGGGATTAACATTCGGCTCCTCATTACTTATGAAAAACTCTGCAGCCAGCTTGAATTTCTCCCCAGAAAATGGGTTTTTCTTTTCCATCACATTGTCAGGCTGCAAATTTTCCAAACTTTTATTTTATTCAGTTTCCCTTATAAAACTGAGTGCCTTTAACACCACCCAAGTCACCTCTTGAATGCTTTACTGCTTAGAAATTTCTTCTGCCAGATACCCTAAATCATTTCTCTCAAGTTCAAAGTTCCACGAATCTCTAGGGCAGGGGCAAAATGCCACCAGTCTTTTTGCTAAAACGTAAAAAGAGTCACCTTTGCTCCAGTTCCCAACAAGTTCCTCATCTCCATCTGAGACCACCTCAGCCTGGACCTTATTATCCATATTGCTATCAGGCTTTTGGTCAATGCCATTCCACAAGTCTCTAGGAAGTTTCAAACTTTCCTACATTTTCCTGTCTTGTTCTGAGCCCTCCAGACTGTTCCAACCTCTGCCTGTTACACAGTTCCAAAGTAGCTTTCACATTTTGGGGTATTTTTTCCAGAAACACCTCACTCTACTGGTACTAATTTACTGTATTAGTTTGCATTCATGCTGCTGATAAAGACATACCCGAGACTGGGAAGAAAAAGAGGTCTAATTGGACTTACAATTCCACATGGCTGGAGAGACCTCAGAATCATGGCGGGAGGTGGAGATAGAAGGCCTTTCTTACATGATGGCGGCAAGAAAAACTGGGGAAGATGCAAAAGCGGAAACCCCTGATAAAACCATCAGATCTCATGAGACTGCTCGCTACCATGAGAACATTGTGGGTGAAACCACCCCCATGATTCAAATTATCTACCACCAGGACCCTCCAACAATACATGGGAATTATGGGAATACAATTCAAGATGAGATTTGGGTGGGGACCCAGCTAAACTATATCAAGTGAGAACCTCGTGGAGTCAACAGTTGTATTTTGACCTTATACTTTTTCTGCGTGCAATGTGTGCTTTACTTTCTTTCAAATTTCATGAGTATTATAAAATATATATACATCCAAACTTTAAAAGGTAAAATTCCTTGCCTAGATAACTAGTAATATTAACTAGTGTGAAAAAAATTCTTTTAAAGCTTTGAGAATAATGTTGAAATAGTTAACAAACTAGAATATTCTCTTATTGGTAGTTTCCAGGTGCTTTCTCTTCCCAGAGAACAGATGACCTCAGATGAACTAAAATGAGAGG